TTTTTTTTTTTTTTTTCAGAAATGTGCCGCATGTACATGCTCAGCGATTGATTTAGGAACTTGTTTTTTTGCACACTGCAACGCTCTTTGTTTACCTTTTCCCATTATTTGCTTGATTCTTTTTTTAATTCTTTACTGCTTACACATACCTAAGCATTAGTGTTTCTCCTCTTTTACACTGAGCATCAGTTTGTTTAAAATCTTTCACTGTTTGCAGTCAAACGTTTAATGTCGTATCCAGAAGAAATTTAACTGGGCTGGGAAGGCAAGTCAGCCGAAAGGAAGCCGGAAACTTGATGTCAAGCGAAAAAGCCGCCGTCGAAGGTCACTCACATCAAACTGACATTAAGAACAGAAGCACAATGTCGAGTCCAGCCGCTCTATAGTATCGAAGCCGTTATCCTCTAAAATAGCAAAGAAATCAGACAGGGAAGAAGCAAATACAAGTAGCTTCTCCATGCATCGGGAATCTGCAGATAAATACCATTAATATAGCCCGAAGAATACTTGCTTTGTTATTTGTTTTTAAAAACGCTGCTAGAGGGCGAAACCGCACTGCTGCACTGAAGATGTGTTGGAGCTGCTGCACTGAAGATGTGTTGCGGTTTCTGAACTAGCAGGTGTTACGAGTGCTGCTTTGGTGAAAAGGAAATAAGGAATATGAAGCGACATCATGAAGTCAACAGATAGACAAATTGACCTACTGTTTGGTACCAACGCAAGATTGCAAACTGACCGGTGGGATTTGCAAAAATGCAGAAAAAAGTGCTGAGAGGGGCAAAATCAAGCCACCCCCATTTTGGATATTGTAGTTACTGATTCTTAGAATTAATCCGCTGAGTGGTTGTTGTTTCAGTTACTTGTTTCAGTTACTTTTTAGAACTAACCCGCTGAACAACCATAATCGCCTTCAGCGGAATCGCAGAGTGGTACGCGTTTTCAAGAAGGCAGCGCTGAATAACTATAATCGCCTTCAGCGGAATCACAGAGTGGTGCGCATTTTCAAGAAGGCAGCGAAGCTGGACGATACTCTTATGGAACTTGCAGTCGCAGTTTATTTCTGCATTGAATCAAATGAATGTTTTTCATTATGGAAAGCTGAAGAAGTTTTGGAAAATTCAGCGAGCGCCAGCAGCGTACTGGACGAGTATTTGAAGAGGCATAATGGAGGATACAGAGAATATTGTGGTAAGGCGAATGCTTTGCCCGGTTATGCTGCAAGCAGTGTGGGAATTCCAGTCCACCAACTGGACCATCGAGTTTGGCTTCTCCCATGAAACTGTTCAGCTACCAAACGAGCGCTTGTATAATACTGCTTGCTGTATTCATTTTTCACAGCCGAAGATACTGGCTCGTCCGAATGTCTGGTAAAAACCAGTTCGTGAATGTACAGGTTGTAAATGGGATTAAATTCCCATTTTCCTGAAAAGGAGGACTTCTTCAAATGGTTTCTGTTTTGTTTTGTCTCACCTCGCCTGTTCCTCTTTTTATATTACTGCTTTTCGACGGCGTCTTAATTCGATTTGGCAGCCGACATGATTAATCATCTGTCGGTGAATGAAGGTGCGGCAGACGTGTACGCGGTTTCGATGACGGCTGGCCTTTGGCGCGTTTCCTCTGCGCGCGACTTTCTTGGACACTTGTAACCATTCTCAACTGGCAGGAGTTTGTGAGAGGCAAAGATTGGACCTCCTTCTGCCCTCGATATGAAGCTTGAAAATGTTTGACTGCGCTGCGCTCTCTTTTAGCAGAATTGCCCGTTCGCCTACTCGGTGTATTGCATCGAGTGAATAGATTTGCGGTGTTTGGAGCGATGTGTTGCCCAAACGTCCGATGGAGAAGTGAATCCTGTCTAACAATGATAGACTTATTTTGGGTAAGCTTTTGCGGTCATTAGAAGTTCATTACACTCCATCCTTATCGACAAATTCACAGATATTCAAACCGCTAAAATTTCGACAGTTACTAGACCTCCATTATGAAATGCTGTAGCTTTTCTGATAACGTTATTTCGCGGCGTCATTTGTCTTTTACGATACCTTCGTCTGGGAATTTGAATTTTTACAACCTTGAGAAGGGTGAGGGATGGGGAGGAAGGATTAGGGAACAATCTATAATTGTCAAAAAACAATTACAAAAAGGAATGGGAAGGTAATTCCCACTTGCACTGTGTCATACAATAATCTGTCTCTATAACGTCGACTTGGCCCAGTACCCACATTGGTTCCTTCGATTCTTCAACACGTTTGTACACAGTACCAGAAACTAGTCATACTTTAGTTTAAAGTTATAATTCTGTCAACTCTTCCTGCTGATTCTACAACTTATTTTTCCATAACTTATTTCCTTATTCCAAAATTTAGTTTCTAATAGAGTGGGTTCAAATATGCTTTATTTGTTTGGTTTAAGGCATGAAAATGAGCTAAAAATGGCAATAACTTATTGCGGAATATTTGCTTTTTGAAATGCCATGAAAATGCAGTTAT